CTGGCTATCCTTCCCTCTACACACACATTCTGTTCATAAGTTAACAGTTCATTCACAATTTCAATTAGCTGCTATTAAAAAAAAAGCATATTCTATATGTGTAGCTAAGCCAAGCCTTATTATTGGGCATTTCCAAAACTACAAAATGACCACGTCTTTGCCTGTAAGTAAAAGGAATGTCACATTCACCCTAAACACATAACTGAGCTTACCCTATGCTTCCCTTCTCTTTCGGGAGGGATGCATGCTCAGGAAGGATAGCTCTGAAAATGCAATTTCCAAAACTGTCACTCAAATAACAGCACAAATATCCTGGACTCCCCCCAAATAAGTAGTTAGGAGCTGGATATGTTTTCCTCTCCTTGCTGGTTAGCTGGAGTATTTATTTGCCCCTGTTGTTATGGATTTAAGTGGTGTTTACTGAAACTGGTTTTGCTAAGGATACATTTTAAACGGGAGGTTGGGAAAATTCCCTCCTGAGCCCGGCTGAGGTATCAAGTTCAGCGTAGACTCGTGGGTTGGGGTTCATAAGATGTGCACAGAAGGGCTTCCCTGGACCCCCTTGGACAAGGGAGGGGACACAGCTGTGTGTAGCGTTGGAGAGCTCCACCCAGCACCTCAAACTTCTCCATTTTCTAGGGATATAGGATTCTTTCCAGGAATCCATTTAAAATGACTCACAACATAATTGCAAACAATCGAGGCCTTGCATGTAGGATGTTCTTATTTCCAGCACGTTATTGCTGCTCTCAGTGTTTTTGCCATGACAGTTTTCCCTTCATAGAACCAGTTAAAATTAGAAAAATCAAACCCACATTAGAGAAGGCAGATTTACCCTGCTATTAATTGATAGGGGATGTAAAGCTCCCACCAGCTGGGTGGGGCCCAGCACTTCCCCTGCAGAGGTCATCAGCAGCCCCTTCCTCTAATCTGGGAGCTGTCTGCCTTTTGGAGCTCAGCCTTGGATTTCCGGTGCTATGAATATGTTTGCACTGGGGAAGCTGCCTCCGCAGCACATCTCCACACAAGTCGTGTGTGTGTGTGTGTGTGTGTGTGTGTGTGTTATTCTCTTCTGCCTTTATTTAAAACCATGAACAACCTTGAAAGTTGAACTCCCCACTCTGCTCTGTCTTCTCTCTGTCCTGTTGGACAAGAGGTAAGTTAGCAAGCATGCCCTGTGCAAGAACCAAAAAATGATTCTTACAGGGAATGCAGCTTGAAGCTGATGGAGTTAAATATTATGAGGAGCCTCCAGGACCACAGAAGTGTCTCCTAGAGGCTGGAAGCAGCCCAGGTAGGTGGGGGTGGGGAGGGCCCCAGGAAAGAAAAATGCTGAAATATGACCCTGTGTTTCAACTTTAAATAAGCATTCCTGTCCTAGTAGAAGTCCCATCTAATGTCTCCCGCAGCTTTGATTTTGGAACACGTCACATTCCTCATTAAAGCAATCACTGTTAAAACATAAAGCAACACAGGATTTATTTCTTCATTAAACTGATGATCCGTATATGAAGCCAATTAACATTATGAGTCTGGTGAACATCAAGTGTAAAGAGGTTAGAGAAAATTAAAAGCAGTCACCTTGGTCTTTAGATAAAGAAAGTACACTTTCAGGTTGTAAATTATCAGAGTGTCCAAGCGGGACAGATCGGCAAATTTGGTTAATTGGGAAATACATTTTACTGCACAAGAATTAAGAAAAAAATGAGTTTCCTTGCTAACATCCCCCTCCCCCTTTTCGGTGAGGGAAGACCATAACGAATATCTATTAGTCACCTTCTCGAGGGCCCCAAGTATCGGAGACAATTGGGGAAAGGGGTGGTTCACGTCATCAAAGTTTACAGTGCCTTTTCGTTTCTGCGGCTGTTTGGTTGGTTGTTTATTCGCTGTTTTGCAGTAGGAACGAGCCCAGCCTGGTAGCTATGGGAAAGGGAGAGCGGTCGAACTGAGGCTGAGGGTCCCGGGCTGGCTTGGAGCCCTCGAAAGGTGAGTGTTTCCTCAGAGCTGTGCTGGTTGTCCAGCCAGGGACGTGGCCGGGTTCGCATCAAGGGGCTCTGGGAGGACCCGACCGAAGGCAAAGGGGCGGTGGGGCATTTCGCAGCTGTAGCCGCTCAGTAGGAGGCATGCGTTTGAGACTGCAGGGTCGGGAGTTCGCTTCTTGCTCCCAGCGCTTAGTGCGCATCCCAAATGACGTTCGAAGGTTTGGACCGGGAGGATATCAGGATCGTCCGGAATTGGCTGCGCGGCCCTCGCGAGGCGCACTGCATGTCCCCACAGGGAGCCCTGGGGACCGATGGCCTCTTTGGCCGGCAAAACGCCGGGTAAGGCGAGGACGCTTGCTGCTATCCAAGGTTCTGACCAGTCGGCTGATTGGGAGAGAGGCTCCGGCGCCCGGGACCTGTCTGCTCAGCTTCCTCGGACAGCTCAGAGCTCCCCCAAAACACCCGACCGCCTCTCGATGTCAGCGACGCGAAGCTGATGGGAGCTTGGGTGTCACTGTTTTCTGGGGCCAACGCGGCGGTCGGGGCCAGGTTGCTGGGGCCGAGGCCCCCGCTGACAAAGCGCTGAGCGGTGCTGGCGGGGAACCCTCTCTCACCTCCCTTCCAGGGCGCTCGACCTGGGCGCCCCGGGGGGAGCTGCAGTCCAGGGCAGGAGGGCGTCCAAGGGCGCGCTCGGCAGACGCCGGCGCTCGGGGGGCCCTCGGCTCCTGAAACCGGTTGCAGAGATCAGGGATGCTGCCTGAGCCTGAGCCGGCCCCGTAGGGACGCCGGGCCCCGCCAGCTCGCCGTGGCCTGGGGCCGAGCAAGGGTCTGCCCGCCCGCGGGCGCAGCTACGCACGGCCCGGCCGGCCGCGCCATCCATCCACCGCGCGGGCCCGCCCGACTCGCCGGCGCTCTCCGCCGGGCCCGCCGCCCGGACTCGCTAGTCTGGGGCCCCGGAGGAGAGCTGGCGGCGGGGTCTGCCCGCTCCGCTGCGGGCAGGGATCCCCAGCGTTCCCTGGCTCCCGGCAGGGCGGATTCCGGCCACGGACGACTGAGGCCAGGAAGGGCCGCCTCGGTGAAAGAGGCCCAGACTTGCCTGGGCCGGAGCGGTGGAGCGTTTCTTCCTGCCTGTTTTCCCCGCGGTGTCCACCAACCGGCCGGGGGCTCGGCGCTCCGTTCTCCAGCTCCGCGCTGCTGGCCGCGGGCGCTTGTCCACGAGTGGGCCCGCCAGGCCTTTTGTTTCCGAAGCTCTGTGTCTTTAAGATCAGGGCTGGATCCCAGGCCGGGCAGGGACCCGACCCACCGGTTCGCCAAGTCTCTCAAAGGCAGCATTAGAATGTTTATAAAATATTCAATTTATGTAGTCTGTCCAAGAAGCCATCGTCCCAAAATAAAACCGGCAGTCTAGACGGAACACAGACACCAGAACTTATCAACAGTTGTCTGATTCGCATCTTCTGATGCTTCTTGAGTGGGTCATAATACCAACTTTATTTTCAGTGGTGCATAAATTAATTACACGCATTTAATAACCAAAATATCATTATATTCCCCCTTTAATATCATAAAGGCTTTCCGCCAGGGAAGCACTTAATAGAGCAGGGGGCCGTAACGGGCTATTATCCGGGTGTAATGCTATTACAGAACCAATTATGCGCCATTAGACTTGCTTTTTTTGCAGTTTATGTGATTTGATCCAATCCCGCGCCCCTGACTTGAAATTTTCAACCCGGTACTTTAGAGTTTAATTTTCACCCAGGCAGAGAGAAGGGCGGTCTCTCTCCGCTGAGCCTCTGCCTCGGATGCATTTTAAAAGTAATTGCGAAGGGTCCCACTGCATATCATTTGCAGGGAGAAGCGGACATAAATTCAGAGACCCCTTGCTGAGAACAAAATCAAACTTTCCTGTCGTACGATCACTTGGAAAGGGGAGCCGTGTGCAAAGAGTCCCCCCAAAACCCATCCGCGGCGACAATTAGGAGCGCTTAGATTATTTCGCAGTCCAGAAGTCGCCAGGCCTCTGACAAGGGCGAGTCCAAATCCAATCTCGCTCAGAGAAAGAAGGTCTGAGTCTGAGGGTACCCAGAGGGCCGGGGTTGGGCCAAGTGTTTAGAACCTAATCTCTTCCGGGTGGGGGATGATATTGGTTCGGTAGCTGTGTCTTCTTTTAAAAGAAAAAGAAAAAAGAAAAAAAAAAAAAGATTGCTGATGTTTGCTGAGAAGTGACGGATTTTTTTTTTCTACACCACGTGGGCCATTTGTAAGGCCCAATAGACCTATCCAAGTTACTCGCTGTAGACAGCGCTGGAAATAATCAGATTAAGGCCAATTATGCGTGAGATTATAAAGGCGAGTGCTGAGCGGCGGCGCGCGCTGTAGACAGACAGCAAGACATCTGGCCACTTCCCCAGTCACTTCTCCGGTCCTGCGGGCGCCAGCAGCGCCAAGCCCCGCCCGCCGCCCGCCGAGCCCCGCGCGCGGACGGCAGGCGAGCGCCCCGCGGCCTGCCCGCCCGCCTCCCGCCGAGGTAGGCAGGGTCCCCGACCCGCTCGCCCGGCTCCCCGCGCCGGGCCTCGGGCTCCACCGCCTCCTCGGCCGAGCGGCTGCGCGTGCAGACGGCGGCCTTGCGCCATCGCCGGCCCCGGGGGCCGGGCGCGGGGCTGGCGGCCGGACCCCCGAGAGCCAGGAGCCAGCCTGCGCCCGGCGTGGGGAGGGCGCGGGGTCTGGAGCCGGACCTCCGCGGGAGGCTGGCCGCAGGGTCGCAGCTTGGGGCTGGAGGTGCGACCACTCACTCTCCCCCGCCCCCCCCCCAATCCCGCGGTGGCCCCGAGGGGGCCGAGGGCTTCGGGCAAGGCTCTGTAGGAGGGGCGCACCCCGCGATCCTCGGGGTGTGCGGACGGGAGACTCAGGCTCTACTGCCGTTTGCTTTGCAGCCAGGCCGGAGCCACGCGCGAGCACAAGTCAGCCAGGCCGCTAGCAGCCCCGGTGCAGCCGTCAGGGCCCACCCGACCGTCGGCGATGTTTTATTTCCACTGCCCGCCACAGCTAGAGGGTGAGTAAGCGCTTGCTCCGCGGGCTGTTTGGCCAGGCCAAGCCGGCCAAAGGGGCCGGGCCGCGGCAGGGCTGACGGGTGCTGGGGTCTTCGCCCCACGAGGTGGCAGCCGCCTGGTAGTGCTGAGGGGCGTCCTTAGCCCCCTCCCCACGCCCAGCTCCCTACCTCCTCCCGGGTGCCACCTGCCTCCCACCTCCCTCTCCGCCTGGGTCGCGCAGCCCCGGGCTATGGGTGCCTCAGGGACGCCTGGTCCTCCCAGCACAGATGCTGGTGTCACGCCTCTAATCGGGGGCTCCTCCGCCCAAGGGGCCCGCATCAATCTTTCACGGTGTTTTGCTAACATCCCGGAAAGCCAAAGCAAGTTGAACTGCCCGCTGCGTCCCGAGCTCCAGCACAAGCCAGGAAGGGCCTGATGGCTGCTGGCCTGCCCTTACCCTGGGCGTTGGCGGAGAGTGCTTCGCGATTGTAAACGGGATTCTGGACAACTTAACCTTAGTTCCTAGCGGCAAAGCTGTCCCTGGAGGCAAGCTCCCCGCTAGTTACTTGCTCGCACTGGCCAGGAATAGCTTCGTCTCAGCGACTCACTGAATTTCTGACCATAATTGTCCACACTTGCCAACCCCCAGGACCAGGGTCTGGTTGTTTAAGGTCTGTAGACCTCAGGGGGGAAAAAATGCATTTCCCTATTCCAGGCGTGGTCTCCGCTCCTTCCGTGGGGCAGGGGTAGTGAGATGTGAAGAGCTTGCACCTCTCTGGGTGTCCCTAGCCAGAGCCCGGTGGACCCAAGGCTGAATTCTTCCTGGCAGTGGTTTGTAGCCGCAGGTGGACATGCTGCCCCACACTCTGGCCTGTGCTGTGGCCCTGGCACCCTGGAACTTTTATAACTCGGGGACACCTTGCTGTAGGTTGCCTTGAGCAGCCTCTGGTGTCAGCCACGATTTGGGAAAGTTTGTTTTCATTTTCCCCAGAGAAGCCCTTCAGAGTCCGGTAGAGTTTGCTAAAGGAAGCCGGCGGGGTGTAGCTTAAGCTCCGCATGCCTGCATTTCAGCACCGGGGAAGACGCAGGCAGGCAGGCTTTAGGGCAGCCGGAAAGGAGCCGAAAAGGAGCCATCCCTTCCCGCTTACCCCAGGCCCCGGGGTGCGGGTGGGACTCCACTGGTTTGAAGTGGGCGGCTTCTACTGCTGTTGACTCCAGCCTCAGCACTGATTGCTAGTCCTTAGACCAGGCTTTTTGTCAAGTGGGAGAGAGATCTGAGCCTTAGCAAGCTGTGTGCATTCTGGGTGACCCGAGGGGAAACGTCTGTTTGTAGCGGCGGGTTACAAATGTGACTTAGAGAATGCCCTATCCCAGGCTCTCTCTGACTTGTTTACTGTTTGTTTACTGACTTGGGTTTTTTTTTGGGGGGGGGGGGGGGGGAGGTGTCACATTTGGTACTCACGCTCTGTTCAGGCCCCACCTTGACTCTGATTGAAGTGAGCAGAAGGAGAGGGGTGCTTCAAGCACATTTCATGCTTTTATAGATACCCGTCTGTGCCAATTTTTCAGGAGGGAAGTGTTGCCGGGGCAGGTGTTGTGCTGTAGATGGGAAAGTTGTGAATGGCCAAGGACAGACCTTGGACTCTAGGGAGGTGCTGAGGAGAAAGCCAAGTGTGACTGTAATCTTACTTCTCAGATACTTTGCTCAGATTAAATTAGAGAGGACTGTGTGGGTCTCAGAGTTTGTTAGAACAAGAACCTACACTCTGGCTAGCAAAGCCCTCCTCTCCTCCCAAAGCCGCCCACTCCAGTCTGTTTCTTGTGATTCTATCGCCTGAGCCTTTTACTCTGTGTCTGTTATGTTTTGTTTGTACTGAGATTATGTTGTCACATCATTCTGGACCTCATTTTAAAACTTCATAATATGCCTTTGAGGGTTTTTTTTTTTTTAATGCCTGTGTAAATGGATCTACTTATTTTCTTTTAGACTGCTGTGTAGTATTCCAGTATTTGTTTTGCAGAATATGTTCCTGATGGTTGCTTTGTCTTTCCTATTTTATTTCTTAATTACACCATCTTCAAGAACATTCTTTCCTCTCTCGTTCAGCATACTTTATTACTATACTCATAGATTTAAAAACCTATGCACTTACATTTTTGATAGTTATTATTCAACTGCCTTCTAATACAGTTTCACCAATTGATATGAATAATAAATGAACATGCACAATTTATTACAATTTATCGGTTCTGGGTATCCTTATGCCCTTTTTTGGACAAAGCAGCGAACACATTATATATTACTTCATCGTCCTGTTATGTTCTGTTTAAGGAGCTGTGCAGAACTTTGTTGAGTATTTTATTTATTTTTAAGAAGCCGACTCTCGTCTCCCTTTCTCTACTCTTGGTAGGCTGTCAGTCTTTTTTGCTTTCCTCCCCTAGTTTGGTGAGGTCAGCTTTTGTAGGATTCAGCTGGGAAGCACAGCAGACAGTGTGTGAGTGAGGTGTGAGAAGACTGGAGACACAGGGACCGGAAAGCCTGCGAGCGTGCTCCATGCCGAGCAGTCAGACTTTACCTCAAAAAGACAGTGTGACCTTTTCAAAGTAATGGAAAGAGTAATGAATGCTTTGGATCTGCCCCTTTTAGATTCCACTGAGATGAAGAGAAGTATTTGTTTCAAAGGTTTCCAGGAAGAATGCAGTTTGGACGGAAAGATGGTGGGAGAATGCTCTGGTAGAGAAGGGGAACAGTGTGTTGTCAGGCATGTGGTCTTTTAGGGCTACCCTGTGTAGACGTGGAAAAGCCCGGAGGACGTGGCCTCCTAGGGCTGAGGCGCTTGTGGAGGGTGCTGTTTGGATGCTGTGCCCAGCCCAGGAGTAGTGATTCTGACAGTAGCGCCCATGGCAGGTGAAACGAGCAGTGGTTAATGGGAACTTACTCATTTGTTTTCCTAAGAAGCCATTGTGGACTATCAAGCAAATAGTACACATTTGGAAAATGATCCAAATGCACATTTGGGGCCAGACTCTGTTCTGGCTTTATCATGAGCACTGGAGGCTGCTGAAGAGAACATTGTCTTTCTTTGTCTGGGGAGGTGGGGACAGCAGGGTAATGCGTAAGGCCTGGCTACCTAGTGGAATGCCCTTGGAGAACGGCCCTTGCAGCTTGGCCTGGCATCCTCTTGGTGCAGGCCTTTTGTTAATTGGTGTCTATAGAACAGACCTGAAGTGGTGCTGATGAGCTGTGACCAGGGGTAATTAATGATCATTTGTAAACTTCTTACCTCCTTGAATCCTGTACTTCTAGGGGGTAAGGGGTGTGAAAAGGTCTCAGTGTCTTCTTTCTTCTCCAGCCTTTGATGGCTTTAGTGACAAGGGGAGTGAGCTAACAGGTGAGCAGAGGGTTCCGTTAGAGGAGGGTCCACGGTGGGGGGTGAGAAAACAGGTGACAGAGGGACAGCCAGGAGTAGGTTGGAAAATGAGGACCAGCATTTTCTCAAGCCACTGACCCCTCATGAATCAGAGACCACAATTTCCTAGGAAGCAGACTTGGCCATCTTGGGTATTAAAGTCACCATTGCCCTCTTACATAGGGGAACCTAGTCCTCTGTGGTGACACAGAGCAAGAGAGCGAAAAGAAGGGTCTTACTAAGAGAACACAGAGAAGCACTTTGGAAGGACAGGCCCTCTGGGGAGGGGCAGGTCTGTGTCCTGTGATGGAGCACGGAAGGGATTGTGTGGTGTGAGGATCTGAACGAAGACCAGGGTCTCTCTGCTCAGACTGATTCCATTTATGCCATGCAGGCACTGCACCTTTTGGCAACCACTCTACGGGGGATTTTGACGATGGGTTTCTTAGGAGAAAGCAGCGCAGGAACCGGACAACCTTCACTCTGCAGCAGGTGAGGACGGATCCCCAAGTGAGAACCAGCTTTCCCCACCTCCGCCAAAGTCACAGCTGAGCCGTTCTCCCTTGTCTTTTAAAAGGAGACCAACTGTTGAGTGAACCAGGTCATCCTTTTCTTGAGTAACTTCCAGGGCTGCATGGGGAACGAACAGGGAACTTGGGCCTGTAACTGCAGGTCATCAGGAAGGGAGCAACAAAGGGAGCAACGACGAGTTTCCCCCTGTATTTTAGGTCCATGGCCTGGGTCTAAGGGTCTACTACATTTCCCCGTAGAGAGCATGTTGGGCACTCTTATCTCCCAGAAAGACAGAGGGGAAGACTGACCCACGAGGTTGGCTCGTGAGAAGACAGTGTTGCTGGCCGCAGCCTCAACTTTTCCATTGGGCTCCCCAAAGCTGAGTGTCCCAGCCTCCTTCCTGAGCAGCTTTGGAGGTGACCCCCCACTTCTGTAAGGCTGACTGGCCGGGGGCTCGTACACACCCTTGCCTATCCCCATGGGGGTACAGCAGAAATTATTCATGAGGCTACCCTAGACTTTTTATTCCCATGACAGAAGTTAAACGCAAACACAGAGAAACATCTATTACTTGTCTACTTCTCTGTCTTGGGGAGGGCACACCGTGTTGTCGGTAGCCTTGGCTACAAAAGCAACCGGGATTTAAACTGTCATTCTGTGGCATCTAAAACAATCTTTCTTAAAAGAATATACTTTATTTATTTATTGTGTATATGTGCGTGTGCATGCTCCTGTGCGCACGTGCCGCTGTTCACGTGAGGAGGGCAGAGGACAACTTCCACCACGCGTGTCTCTGGGATCAGACTTCGTTCATCAGGCTCGGATGCAAGCACCTTCCTTAGCTGAGACTTCTTCCAGACCTCCGTGGAATCTTTTTCAGAAAGCTCTTTTCTCCATCTCCTTCCTGGATTTGATCTTCGAAACTGCTTCCTCTCCACTCCTGTCAACTCTGAAATGTGCCTCCCTCACCTAGCCGCAGCCTCTCACCAGTTTTTTTTTTCTTTCTCCCTTTCTTTCTTTTTACCAGCTGGAAGCTCTGGAGGCAGTCTTTGCCCAAACACACTAC